AGTTTACTTCCAAGAAATTAAGTATTTTAAAACACAATTTAAATTTTACTATTTTTAATAATAGATATTTTATGTTTTGCCTTTGTGTTTGTTAAATGATTATATTTATTTTTTAAACTTTTTACACAAGTCTTTATTTCCATGTATTGCTTTTGCATTTCTCTGTTTTTACTTTACCTTATGCATTTCTGCTTCATTATGTAATTAAGGTGGGGAGTCCTTATTGGGTCAGCTCCTCTCCTAATGGTCAACAGACAGGAAGGAGCTGAATTCACGTGCAGGTTGCACTGCAGCACACCCATGGCCATATGTCAGTTCAATGTTCGAGGTTTTAGGACTTAAAAATAAAATGTGTCAGTTCAAATGTCTTCTCTGTTTACCACGGGTAAAGTACCTTTCAGCATTCCATAACTCAACATCTAACCTGAGAAAGCACATTGAGGTAAGTCAGCAAACTTTTTTCTCACTAGTTTAAATGCTTTAAATGAAGTTGACTTTGGTTAGGGTGGTTGTGGTTTAATGCTGTGAGAGATGATTGAAAAATARYYDACCATTGTGTGCTAACTGCTAGCTTAGAGCCCCGTGCGGGTGCACCTTGGGGCTCTGCGCTCGGGATTCCTCTCGGGCCCTTGGGCTCTGGTCTTCCCTATGTCTGCCTCGTGTCTTGGGGTTTGGGTCTCCGGTCCTCCACAGTCACTATTAAATATTCCATTGGAGAAATCTTGTATATACACNTGTTCAATACTTATTTTACCCGCTATATATATGTATATGTATACACACTCACACTCATTGAGGATTTATTCTCTCTATACATGGCTTAAAACACTTTCTTCATTTGTTTTCAGAATATTTAGAATAAATGGCCCTATGAAAAACTGAAGAAATGCTTTACCTGCCTGAATATGGGTTTTACCTGCCCCGGGCAGTCAGCCAATAGGATTTGTCGAACCCTGCTTGTGGTAAACTGGTCACATGCAGGGTCTGTGTTGGTGATTCTTGCTGTAATATGTAAAGTAATTATTGATAAAGTAACCATGCTGTGGCTTCACCTGTTCATTTTCTTTTAAAGAAAGAAAAAGTAGCTTACAAAGCTRTCGTATTACCGGCCCCAAGAACAGTACCACAGCAATAAAGATAACCCACCTGTGAACAGGTAAATAACTGACATGGCACAGGCTGCTGGTGATCAGCTCCTCATCTGAAGCACATCTGCTCTTTATTGGCTTACAGTAATATGAACATGTAATACATGACTTTTTTTCTGTCTCAGTATATTTCAACAGACTGCCTTAAAATGACATTAGTACATTTGTATAATGGACCACTTTGCTACATGTTTCATAAATATGGTTTTAAACTGTTGGCTACTTGTAATTGGCCAATAAAACACTTGACTGAAAGTCTAAGAATAAACTCACAAAGAAAGGAAGTGCATCCTTTTTGAAACATTTTAAAATGATATAAAATTACACACAAAACAGCAGGTACTGTTACCTTTTTATGACTCTATAACTAGTCAATATAATTAAGATGCAAACAATCTCACCAAACAGTAAATATAATTATGTCATCTCTTAATAGTTTTTTAATGTAATATTACAGGATAACAATTTTATTAAAACAGTTTCTCAACATATTTACACTTTTTATACTTATCAGGTAATCATTTCTTACATCAATTTCATTTCAATAAAAAAGAAAAGTGGGAGAACTGATACATGCTGTTAAGAGTTGATGAAATGAACCTGTTTAAAACCAGTGTCTGGGAGCTCAACATGCTAAGCTAACTTAAATGAATAGGATTAAAGTGGACCTGTTAGCTAAAACTCATGTCACTTAACTGTGTCAGATGTTGCATCAGGCAACTGCCTCATCGATGGCAAACTTTTTAACCTAAACTTTGGTTTATAAAACATTCAAAATAAAAATGAAACAGATGATCAAACAGAATCACAACATGGGTCAACAACACCACAACAACGAGCCATTTCTTCAGTACCAACCTGWAAACAGGTAAATAACTGACATGACACAGGCTGCTGGTGACCAGCTCCTCACCTGAAGGCAGAGYGGTGGCCCCGCCCCCTCAGCAGGACAGGTGCAACAGTCCGTGTCACGCGCTCACAGGCATTAGTCCGTCAGTGCAGTAGTGATCTAACAACATTACTTGTTAGATAAAACAAACATGAAAATTAAAAACCATAAACAGACTTAAAAGGAAAAAAATAGTATAGGTCCTCTGGACGGGTTCTTCTTTAATGAAACGTTTCGTCTCTCCTCCAAGAGACTTCTTCAGTCTGAGAGTTTCAGGCTAAATTCAGGCTTTTAAGCCCTGCCTCCAAAAAGAATGTCCCAACACAGACGAGCTACATCTAATGGCCAGAACTCTGCAGTTTTCACTCATTTACAGGCCAGCGGTCACTCTTTCAGAGATGAGGATGTTCTCATTCTTGATAGAGAGGAACGTTGGTTTGAGAGGAGTAAAAGAAGACATTTTTGTAAAGAAAGACCGTCCATCATTAAACAGAGGTGGAGGCCTCCATTTTCAGTTGTCCCCCTCCTACAGTGCTGCCATTGGCAGTATCACTCCACCCCCTGTTAACAATAGGTGTTAATTAGGTGTGAATGATAGCCATGTGATGTGAGTATCAGTCACATGGAGGCAGGGCTTAAAAACCTGAATTTAGCCTGAAACTCTCAGACTGAAGAAGTCTCTTGGAGGAGAGACGAAACGTTTCATTAAAGAAGAACCCGTCCAGAGGACCTATACTATTTTTTTCTTTGATTTTTACCTGGATTACTGAGATGCATCAGGACAACTAACAGACTTATGGTCACCTTTATTTTCTTTGGGTGCACCACAGTCACATCGGTGCTACGTGATTTAAAAGAAGCAGTTTTCATCACGTGTCTAGTCACACACGTGCGTCTTTCTATCTTTGTGAGGACCACCCACAGCGCTCAGCCTYGCTCTGTGCCGTCTTTTCCCCACCAAGTTAGGCGAGGGGTGCAAAAACTAACTCGACGTGATCTGGACTTATTTAAATAGAGATGACTCTATGCTGTGAAATTCTTAGAGGGGCGGGCCGTGTCGTTGGTGTGGGGGTCTGACCCCCTTGTATGATGGTAGGGGAAACACTGAAAAGCAAATTTGAGTATGTAATGAGCTTTGTGTTTGTCAGGTAATGTAATAAATGTAAGGTGTTCATGGATGTCTTTTAGACTTTTTAAGTTTTACTGGTCAGCAGTTAATATTATGACTTTCTTTGTTCAGTCAGTAAAACATTTCAGTGGCTGCAACACGAGTAACAGCAGTGCTCAACTCCATCAGCCTAAGGCTTTCTGAGCACCGCTCCACTGGAGAGGCAGATCATGCTTACCACCAGCTGGAGTGCATCAGAGGCTTTTAGGAGGATACTGGGACCAGTTTGTGAATGCTGAACAGGCCTTACAGGAACTGGAGGAAGCATTGGATCCCCAACATCAGTTACAGGTTCAGAGTTCCTACAGTAAAGATGGACAACAGAGGTCATCCAGCTTTCAGCATAAACCGACAGCAGTTGGATTTGCTTCACTTTGACTTTACAGCTTCAGACACTGTCCATGTGTTGTGTGTCAGTGTGAGGACAATAACGAGAAGACTTAAAGAGGACGGACCATCAGTGCAACAGATGTTCAGTGACATCACGAGTGCAGATTTACAAACCGTTGTCTCTGCATATCTGCACACAAACACAAATTCAGGTTACAGGATGGTAAATGGTACTAAGGAGCATGGGTATCAGGGAAGGATTATTTATGAAGGAAAGTAATCAAAATGTAATTTTCATAATGTTGCATCACTTATTTGGTACAGTCTGTGATTTCAATGGTTGGTACATGTCAATATGTTAAAATATCAGGATTTCTAAAGTGACCTAGAATTAGTCATTGTTACATGGACGAGGCTTTTAGTCAATAAGTCTGGTTAAGTTTGTCTTTTTCTCCTCTCAGTGACCTGCAGCGTTGTCCTCCCTCTGCAGTGCTCTGCTGGCTGTGGAAGGAAGTCAGTGAGGAGTTAGGTACAGAGTAACATGATCACTTACAGCAGACTGACAAGTTATTTAATGTGCACAAATCACACACACACACACACACACCTCAGCACCATAAAGTGTAAAACGAAACATTGAAATAAGGTTTGTTTGAAATTTTACAGACATTTATTGTGGTTCAGCTGGGTTTATTCAATGTTTCCAAATACTGACTGACTCAGTGAGGACACCGATCCTTTGTTGGAGCAGTGTTTCTCCTGTAGGTACCCACATTAAATTAGCTAAATGAAATGACTTCCACRTCACGATTTGGTCAGCTGCAAATAATGTAGTTTAATTGTACTTTAATGTAACGAGAACTTCGATGTTTTTGTTTTGATTTAATTTTTTTTTTTTTTACAGAGTCTCTGAGTCTAGGCTGAGAGAGACAATGCAAGCTGTTGACCCTTTTGGTAATGTCCTTCGTGGTTTATGCTTGAACCTGTTCAGCGACGATCGTACTCTGTCCCTGCCCCGTTGTCTTTGTGGCTTTTGGATGGTTCTCATAAGCTTATTCAGCAAGTAACTTTAAAATACTTTTGTATTTTTAATGATGCACATGTGACTCCTGCTAYACTCATTGTGTTTGTCATCAAGATGGAGAATTGTCATTCACGGGTGCATTGATGGCTACAGCAGGAAGATAATGTACCTTCATGCTTCTAACAACAACAAGGCTTCAGCAGCTCAGCAGGCCTTCTGGAGCTGTGCAGCAGTTTGGTTTGCCTCACTGTGTCCGCAGTGACAAGGGTGGTGAGAATGTCGCAGTTGCCAGGTTTATGCTTGACCATCCACTCCATGGACCAGGTATGTTTATTACTCACTGTACCCTACAGAGCTGCTGAAATGAAATAAAGTCTGACCCTGGATTTACACTCGATGTGACTCCACTGTGCTGTGGTGTCCCTTCATGTTTTAATAAATAGTGCTGATTAGAGGTGCAGCTACAAGCGGTAATGTTCCTCAACTTTTACAGAATTAACGAGTAGTTCGTGAACTCAAAACACCAGAAATCCTGACAAAATGAGCTGCTAGTCCACAGCTCATAGGCTGAGCTCCTCTCTGTCACCCCCCCCCTCCCCCCGCAGGTCAGACAGTCCTGGTCAGGATGATTAACCCTTAAAGGCCCAGATAATAATCAGTCTTTAAAATGTGATAAATAAATAATTCTCAGTGACTGAGAGGAAGTTTTCCATAATTGCATTTTTAACTGTTATCCTTTATATCTGCAAGAGTTAAAGTTGTTCTAGTTCTAATAATTATTAGAAAGGACATGATTTGAGGTTTTTACTGATAATATTTTATTTAAAACATGTTACAGAAGTCATAAGAAGCAGGTTTATTTTGAACAAACGTGTTCATTCCTACAAAAAAGTCAAATATATTTACAAACAACACTTAAAGCTGCTGTATGTAGTTTCTTGAGTACCCAAAAACTTAGAAAATTTTTGAACAGAAACAACCTTGTAGTCC